TTTAATATCAAAACCAATACGAAAAATTCAATTTCGCTTTTTTGCTGTAACTTAAAAACCTACCTACTTAGAATGTTCAATAAATTAATATAATATTATCATTTTCACATTGAACAATTTTCAAAATATTTAGACTTTTTGAGACATTTATAGACATTTGAAGTTCAAATTTGGACGAAACAAAATATTATAGAATAACAATTTTACTTATTTTGTTGTAATTTAAAAATATTATTCGTGGGTACTTGAAACTAAGTTGGTATATTATTATATTTTATGAATACAATCACATTTTCAAATTCAATGTTTTGGGTAAAAATGAATTCAACTTACTATAGCCTATATAGGTATTATGTCTGTATTACTAAAAGTAAAATAAGTTATTTAATATAAATAATAAATGTATCATAAATATACTTTGTGTCTATAGGTGTAACATACTCTGACAGATCGTCTTCACTCAGAATAGTCAGAATCGTTTTTCGTGTGCAATGATTTATCATTGACTTCAAACTTAACACTTAAATTACGTCATTAGAGTGACTAAATCAATGGTGAGGTACATGCATTTTTGGATAAGCGTTATTGTATAACGTTGCAAGTTATTTTTAAAAATGAATTAAGTTTTAAATTTCTTTTAACTCAGGCTTGAAAATATAATAGAAGGTTGCTTATATGTTTCGCTTATAGCAACCTGAAAATAAAAAAAGTGGAAAAGTGGATGTCGCTCTGATGTACAGTAGGTTACAAGTGGGCCTCTGTAATGGATAGTGTTAAATTTGAATTTAATGATATAATACCATTGCATAAGAAAAACGATTTTGAGCGAAAACGGTCAGTCAGTCTATGATATTACCAAGTATATTTGATGATAATATTATTGTGAATAAAGTAATTTATATATTTATCTATTTACTTAGACCCTTGGAATTTCAAACGCTCATAAAAATTTAATTTGATTTTCTTGTAGACATTTTTTTTTTGATAAAGTTAGACAAACTTATTAGGAATCTTGTATTACATTTTTAAATCTTAGATTTAAAAAAAAAATGTTTATTATGAGTTCTCAACTCAAAATAATTTGCTAATTTTCGTGATTTTCGCGATTTTTCCGTATTTTGTCAAGATTTGAACTTTAAATGTTTTTTAAATAAAAACTGTGATTAAGGATTTTTAAAATTTTTCAAATGTCAATGTAACAATATAGTAGGCGCCTTGTATTACATTTTTAAGCTTTTTTACCTAACAAATAAAGTTTTATTGACATTTATAGAAAAAAAGACTAATAAAATTGGAAACAGAAAATGTTCCTAAACAGCTTAAAACAATGTGTATAGAAAATGCAAATATAAACGACCAGTCAAAATTTCATGTATATACGTTCATTTGATTTAGAGTTACACCAAAAACCAAAATCGATTTTGTGTAAAATTTCCCGTTTTTCCTTAATTTTTATGTTGTTTTTCCCGTCGCTTTTGAAAACTGAAGGGAATTTTGACCTCCCCAATGCACCAACATTATTCACTTTCCCATCGAACAAGATACTGAAGTTAAAAATCGAAGCATATTTTGACTACTTATTGTGTACACATACACAAAAAAAAAAAAAATAAATAACACACATTGTTAAATCAATACATTCATCGTTCCACTCAGAGTCTATAATTAAATTACACATCATTATAAAATCCCGTACATTCATCACTCCGCTCAGAATCTAAAATACATAAAAATAATGAAAAATTCTCATTATATTTTATACTAGCTGATCCCGTGCACTTCGTTGCCCGTTCAATGTACCAAGTCTATATGCCTCAAACTGTGTTAAATTCGTTATTTATAATATTCGGTGTATGGTGTTCAAAATGTATCTTAACTTTTCCGTTGCCCGGAATAAAAATTCTGATTTGCAGCAGTATATTATCAGGTAGGCAATCTACCTGCGGTACCTTGTACCACAGAACTTTGTACGTAACTGTATGATTTAACTCTTATGTATCAAAGTTATAGCAAGTTTGTCGTGTTCCACATATAATGGATTAATATAATCTATTAATACAAAATCCTAACCTAACCTAACCAATAACCATACTAATATCAGATGAATAAAAAAACCAAATTTGAAATTTGAAATTAGCCTGTCTTCTTCCCAGAGGTCTATTCTTCACACAAACATTCATTTATATATATGTATATATATTGATAAAAATAATACAAATCAACAAACATGCCCGATTAACCAATAGCAACCAATATGTATACACTGTTTTGCTCTAATGTTGTAAACACGATTTGTTTTATATGCAACTGAAGTTTACATTTTCACATTTTTTTAAATTCGTAAAAATCACGAACATTTTCAAATTATTTTCTTGATAAAAACGCTTGCCAAGTCAGGGATCGGCATTTAAACTTTCTTGATTTTTAATTTTTAGGAATTTATTAACTGATATAATCACACCCAAGTGGTATAACAATTTGAATCCAGAAAAATGTCGGTGTGAACAGCCCCACAAAAAATCATGTTCATTTTCATTTAGTAAGATAGATCTCCGAAACCCATGAGCGGATTTCGTTGTTAGCGGTCTTGTCAGATTCACATTGGTGAGGAGAAGTGCAGTGAATATTTTAATAGATATTAATTAATAGTTAATTCACTATAGAACATTAAAAAAAAATTAAAATAAATTTTATTGGGCGTTTTTTGATGTTTTTCAGCTTTACAGCCTTGTAGTGAATTAACGATTAGGAATAAAGTTCTGAAAATCTTCACTGCACTTCTCCTAGCCAATGTGAATCTAACAAGATCCCAATCAACCAAATCCGTTATCCAGTTTCGGATACCTACTTCGCTAAATTAAAATCTAGAGAAAAAAACTTTTTTTTATCTGTGAAAATTTAATAATTTAAAAAAAATTAATTCCATATTTAGTATCTACATGATAATCCCCTTTTAATGAGTTATCAACCAACTTTCTACCTATCATAGATTAGGAGAAAAGATAAAAAAAAAGAAATTTTGGGACTGTTCACTCCGACGTTTTTATGGATTCAAGTGGTTATACCACTTGGGTGTGATATCAAATCTCTCTCAGTAATATTTTATATTAAAGCTAGCTAAATTACTCACTTACTCATCATTACTGAGTTACATTTTTATTATTTTCCTATTTAACACAAATTCTTGAAGTTTTCAAAATTCAGACTTTTTTCATTTCAATTACCATACTTACTTGATTAAAAATCAAGAAAGTAAAATATATAAAATATTCACTTTTTATAAATTAGTTTCAAAAATTGAACGCAAGAGTATTTGTTAGTACTTCTAAAACTTAAAAATTTGAAAAAAAATTGAAAGTACAATTTTTTTTATAAGAAGTTCATTTTTATTTGGTAGATATTTTGACACTTTAAAATTGAGGGGTGTTTTCGATTTTAATTGTCCGAGCGAGCACTGCAGAGAGCGAGTGATCCAACCGTGTCTATATATTATGTTATATGGTTGGTAGTCTCGATAACCGAAAAGTACCTCTGAAACTTTTCGACATAGGTATGTTTACTATTTTCTGTACACAATGGCATTTAAAAAATATTTAAGCTAATTTTAGAGTTTTTAGACTATTTATACCGCGAATCCATTCATTCCATTCCACGATATATCGTTATATAATGACTTATAACTTGTAAGTTAATAACAATAATTAATAATGTTAATAAATAATGTACCTAATAGGTTTAGTTTAACGAGTACCTACATCGTATTATTGTATATTAGGTATTAGTATTATAAATAATAGAATATCCTTAGTAAGGAGCTGGACACAAAAAGCATCGTCTCCATTGAGAATTATTTTTCAATGGAGACGATGATTATTTTATCATGAAACACTCATTATTTCAAAAAGAATTGATGTTTTTGAAAATATTTTTTTACATAGCTTCAAGTTGTTAAAAAACAATTTTTTTTTATTAAATTATATTTTTAAATATTTTTTATCCTTATATATTATAAGTTTTTTACTTTTTCGAATGACAACATAGAGTTTTAATTTCATATTCCAAAGCAGAATATTTTTCTAAGTATTTTGATTCATAAAAATCGAATTTTGGACGAGCAGTTTATGAGTTAAAAGTATTTAAAGATTAGTTTGGCGGGATGGAGTAGTACGGGGTTACCCCGCAAAATGTTTGTCCACTATACTTCTCTTGTCCAAACTTTCAATACTTATAAGTTATAACTCATAAACTACTAGTTCTAAATTCGATTTTTATGTATCAAATTACTACTCAAAATATTCTGCTTTGGAATATGAAATTAAAACTCTATGTTGTCATTCAAAAAGTAAAAAACTTAAAAAAATATTTAAAAAATTTTTTTTTTTTTAAATGTTGTTTTTAAACAACTTGAATTATGTAAAAACAATGAGTATTTTATGGTAAAAGAACCACCTTGTATGATATACCTATTACCTACTTTCAATGACTTATCATTTAATTTAGATTTATCACATATATTACGGTGACTTGCCTAATCAATGACAAAGTACTTAGGTACCATAGAATAATAAATTAATATTGTCTACATCGTATACTATACAAGCATATAGCAGAGAGATTTACCAGGATTTTTAATTTATAGAAACCCAAGACTTGATTAGGTACTTTAAGTTTTATTTTATAATATTTAAGTATTGTGTTTTGTACTTTATTTTTGTTATATTATGTCAATAAAATTATCAAAGAATTTAATGGAGTCCTACCCCAACGATTGTAAAATGTTTGGTTGATATGAATACCTTTGGTAGAATTATTGAAGATTGCAGAAAAATAATTATTTGATTGATGATTCCTGTATTGATTATTAACTATTTTGTTTTTTTTTTAATTTGACTGAAATTTAAGTTGTATTATAATATTATAATATACATAATAAAATAATAAATGTTATTTTAATACTTTAAAATGTAAAGTAGTAATGTTATCGATTTTATAATGTTCAGAATACTGGAGTTATCAGGACTGGGAATGGAGCGCCAGTTGATGATCTTACTAATTCAATTCAAGCTGGAGTAAATGGACCATTGTTGATACAAGATCATACTCTCTTAGATGAAATTTCACATTTTGACCGTGAACGTATTCCAGAACGAGTTGTACATGCCAAAGGAGGAGGTTAAAACTTAAAATAACTTTTTAAAATATATTATTTACATTTTCAAAAATAAAATGTATTTTAGGTGCATTTGGTTACTTTGAAGTAACACATGATATTTCAAAATACTGTAAGGCTGATGTCTTTTCAAGCATTGGAAAACAAACTCCTGTTGCCGCAAGATTTTCAACTGTTGGTGGAGAGAGTGGATCAGCTGATACTGTTAGGTACTTACTACCTATCTAGATGGCTATATAGTATATAATATACAATATAATATGTAAGACTTCTTAAGTGGTTGGACAACAATGTGTGCTAAATCATGTATCTACAGTTATTCATACTTAGTACTTGCATGATTAAGTATTTAAGAGGTATTCCAATTGATCTAATGAAACAATAATAATTCTGAAAAGTGATTTAAATTGGTCGTCAAGTCTACTTGAAATCGACTTTCCCACATTTTTGATATTATCTCCCAAATTTCTAAAAATGTCATATTAAAAAACACGTCTAAAATACTATGTTGTACGTGTGTTAGACAAAAACAGAAAATCACGGTATCAAATCCCCTTAAGTACCTATATAAATAGGCAAATAGTATGCTTTTGAGTTTTGAATGTTTTGATATTATTTAATACACCAGTTTGAAATTTTGATGACTTTCTCGTAAAACAATTACATTTATTACAATTTTAAATAATTTAATTTGTCAGTAGGTTAGTTTTATACATTGACTTATAAACGTTAGGCTAGTAAAAAAATATATAAATAATAATCTACTAAATCTATAATGATGTATGTATAAATTAATAATGTTAAAGTATTATGATGTAATGATATATTATAATGGTACATATTTTTATGATTTGTTTAGAGACCCAAGAGGTTTTGCTGTAAAGTTTTATACTGAAAATGGAAATTGGGATTTAGTTGGTAACAATACACCAATATTTTTTGTAAGGGACCCAATTTTATTTCCAAGTTTTATTCATACCCAAAAGAGAAATCCAGTTACCCATTTAAAGGTTACACAATTTAATATACAATGTGATTAGTACCAGAGTTATATAAAAATTACTTTTAGGATGCAAATATGTTTTGGGACTTTTTGACTCTTCGTCCTGAGTCATTACACCAGGTAATGATATTGTTCTCAGATCGTGGAATCCCAGACGGATATCGTCATATGAATGGTTACGGATCTCATACGTTTAAAATGGTCAATGCTAGTGATAAAGCAGTTTACGTTAAATTTCATTTCAAGGTATTAAAAATAATAACTATTAATAAATATTTGGTATATTATCGAATAAATATATAATAATAAAACGTTTTGTATCAATTGTTTTTAGACTGATCAAGGTATTAAAAATTTGGATGTTAAAAGAGCTCGTGATCTTGCTGCTGATGACCCAGATTATTCAAACCGTGATTTATTCAATGCTATTGCTAATGGCAACCACCCTACCTGGACCCTCTATATACAAGTGATGACATTTGAAGAAGCTGATGCTAATACATTTAATCCTTTTGATATTACAAAAGTTTGGTCACACGCTGATTTTCCATTAATACCAGTTGGCAAACTAGTGTTGAATCGTAATCCCACTAACTATTTTGCTGATATTGAACAAATTGCTTTCAGCCCAGCGCACATGGTGCCTGGTATTGAACCTAGTCCTGATAAACTTCTTCAGGTGATTATATTATAATTTTTATTAATATTATTTATCTTGAGTTATATTGCATAGCTGTTTTATTTTTGGATTTTAGGCACGCTTATTTTCTTATAGTGATACACATCGTCATCGTTTAGGAGCTAACTATTTGCAGTTACCTGTAAATTGTCCGTACCGTACAAAAGTCACCAACTATCAACGCGATGGACCTCAAGCTTATGATAATCAAGGGTCTGCACCAAACTATTATCCCAATAGTTTTTCTGGACCAGAACAGCAACCTCACTTTAATATGTCGTCATTCAATGTTTCTGGTGCTGTTGCAAAGTAAGAAAATACTTATAAAAATGTAAAACCTAATATATAATTATATATGGTGCGGTTTGCACACTCAACTGCGGAAATGCTCTGAGTGTACGTATCAGCCGGTGTTGCCTCAATTTTTAGCTACAGATCCTTGCTACACATAGAAACGTGTTTCAACCAACCGTTTCTCCCCCCCCTACAAACAAACAAAAACAGCTAAAGACCATGGCTTAAGTTAAATAAAAAAAAAAATTATATACATTTTTGAAAATATTTATGTAATTCATATAAATGTATAATATGTATTTAATTAAACATTTTATTTTACAGGTATGACTCAAGTAATGATGATAACTATACCCAAGCAGGCTTACTTTATAGAAACGTTTTACCTAAAGATGAACAAACTAGATTGGTAGAAAATATAACAGACAACTTAAAACATGCTGCTGATTTTCTACAAGTACTTACTTTTTTTAATAATTTAATTGCACACATTTTTTTTATTATAGTATTGTTTATTTTATGTTTTATTATTTTTAGGAAAAAGCAATTTATCATTTCACTCGAATTGACGACGGCTTAGGTAAACAACTAAGAGAAAATTTGAAGTTGGCCAAGTGTTCAAAAGCAAATCTTTAATAATTTTAATAAATCACATAATTCTTCAAAAAAATAAAAATAAAAACAACTAAAATTATTTTTTTATCTTTAATTATTTATAGTTTTAATTTTTATTAAACTGTATAAGACAAACTTGTAATTATTACTTGGGTGACTTAAAAGTTTATTTATTATAATTTTAGAATCACATTTAAATAATTCATATTATATTGAGACATTGAGTAGTTTAAAATAAAAACAAATATATTAGGCATCAATTATTTTACATTACAATATATTGTGTTACGTCATACCTATTGCATTTTATTTTTTACTTAACTGATCAATATTTATTAAAAGTAGGTAGGTAACATTAGGCTTTCCTGTTCCATTAAGGCTGTTGAAAGCTGGTAGTTCTTTCGCTCATTTAGACCAAATAAGCAAAAAAAAAAATATATACTTCCAGAAGTCCAATTTTAATTTTGAAAAATATTTGAATTTGTTCACTTTTTATCTATATTTTTTAGGGAATTATTATTATTTTTAGTCACACTAAAGTAAAATTGAATTATGAGAAAAAAAAATAATATGGTTAACACTATACTGATAAAAAATACAACAAATCAAAAATCCACTTCCTACATAACCTTCTAGGTATAATAATAAGTAGTAATAATAAGAGATTAAGGATTCAAGAATTTAAATGTTTTAAAAATTAAGATTGGGCTTTTGGATCTGTTTTCTTCTGCTATTTGCGACTTTCATGTTGAAACTTTTCTGATCACAAAATATAGTCACGTGTAACTGTGTGTGATTTTGGATTTCCAAGAATCTTAGCCGTAGTTTATCTATAATTACATTTCAGCCGTTCAGGGAATTTACGCATACTAATGATCAGTCACAACACTGTCACATATCACCCACGGTAGATATAGAATATTTCCTAAATTAGAATCCAGTAATAATTATAGATATTATATTCATATAATATACAATTTATGAAATATTATAGAGATTAGAAACCAATTTATTAATATTAAAAACAGTCATAGTAAATATTTTGATTACAAAATAATCTCAACTTTATTTATGAATCATTTTATAAATAATATATTATTAAAACAGCCAAACTAAATGAAAATATTTGTCAATCCTTAGCAAATTTACAAGTTGTCTTTAACTCATGTTTATGTGGTAAATTATCATAAAAATCATGAACATCTCTGGGCAAAACTATTTTAAGTTTCTGCAAATCACTCCATTTTGAAAATGAAAGTACCATTCTATTCTGGTATAACCTTGTTACTTCTTTATTGATATCAATTTTTTTTTTAGCTTTATGATACTTTGGAATCTCTTGATACTCATCATCAAAATTTAACTTAAAATAAATTTTTTGAGTAGTTGGGTCATATTTTATTGCTCTTATATCTCGTACTTCTGGATCTCCTTTGGATTTTCCTGGTCTTATAGACTTATAAAACATGATGTCTTTATAGTCTTGAAAATCTGAATGTGCCATCAAAGTTGATTCATAAGGATTTGGTTTTTGGCGTGCAATTTTGGTTAGTTTTACATAATCTGAAGGTAAATAAATTTCTTTATTTTTCAAAACGCTTTCTATAGCACTATGGACACTGTCACAAGGCAGTTGTGTATGTCCTTCGACTAAAAACTTTTGTTCGATAACAATATTATTTTGAATTGCAAACTTGAGTAAAGCGTTTGATAAGAGAACATTACGATTCTGGTACCCACATCCATTAGAATAAAGTATGATGTCATTATTACTTTGGGTTGTAGACTTTTTAATGCAATTTAGTGTTAGATGTTTTATAATAAGGGATGTAAAAACAGATGATTCTAACATTCCCTCTGATTCGTCCAACCAATAGCTTGAACACTGATGTTCTGGTGCTAAATTATACACAGTAAAATTATGAACTTTCAATTTCGAGCTATAATAAAGTGCATTGGAGTTTAATGCTGGACATAGTTTTACTACCTGCAAGTTCATTGTGAATACATTTTTTTTATATGCTTGGGCATCAAGTGTATCTTTAGTAATCTCTTCTTGGGCTCTGTCTTTTTGTTTCATATGCTCTTGATAATCATCATCACATACCTGGTTTACTCCATAACTAGAACATTTGTCACATATATCTTGGTATATCATATATTTGCTTGGTTGAAATATTGATAAGTTTCTTTTTTCCATAATTATAGAAAAAATTCTTCTACTCAATGGATTTTCAACAGAATCTTCAACACATTTTTGTAAATAAGCAGAGTATACGTTCATTTTAGAAATAAACGGGCCTTCAAGGTAAATCCTGTTAGTTTTCTGCCTACAATAGTGGCTGGGCATCTTGGCTAAACTGTCGAACCAAGAATTTAAGTGATCATATCTCATTGAAATGGACTTTTGAGGAGAAATTTCATCTTGGTGTTCTTCGAGTGTATATTTAGTAAGCTCTTTCTGGGCTCTGTCATTTTGTTTCATATTATGCTCATCAACTGCCACTTCAACAGAACCAGTAATTTTTTTTTTTTTTATAGAAAGTTCGCCAACCTGATTAGAAGAATCCAGCCAATTTTTTACCATCCACTCGTTAAGACCTAATGTATTTTGAAACATTGTTTTACACACAACAAATTTCATATCTCCAGATTTCAAATGATATATGTAAGAGAAATTTCTTCTACTGGCTTCTCCAGCAGCTAATGTTTCTTGTTTTTTTATTTGTTTTGACACCAAATTAGTACAATATGTTTTCTTCTCATCCCAACTACATTTCCAGAAGTCATCAAACATTGATTGTCTTTCGTTCTCTTTGAATCGATTGCAGTGTCGGTTCTTTGAACTAGCACAGTATATTGAAGTACAAGCCGGTTTTAATGTTCTTTTTTCACGAATAGTATTATGGAATACTGATTTTCCTTCCCTGTGATATCCTGTGTAATTTTGTCCAAGCATTCGTTTTATTTTTGTTTGTTCTCTAGTCCGTTCGTTTTGGTCTGCAAACAGTCTTCTTTTTTGTTTTCCATTGCTGTTACAAATATCATTAAACTTTTGTTCTGGAATGGTATTAATTTGTTTATAGTCATGATGTGTCCCTACAATATAACTATGTTCAATAACATCTTCATTACCTAATTCTTCCTTAGAATCGTCAATAAAATTCAACTCATTCACATAATTAGGATCTAAAAAAAAAATTTCAATAAAATAATGTTATACTAATCATATTACAGAATATATTTTTCGGTTAATAATATTACCTAGTGAAACTATATTGACATCCTCCATGATTTCATCGTAATTATTCATGTTATTTAATTTAGGTAAAATACTACGCACTGTAATTTTCTCCTGGCATGACGTGTTACCCTCATGAGACTGACTCGCCAAATTCAATGATAACTTACATTAATTGTTAGTCCGAGAATGTCGACTCAACGTCACGTACAACAGCTATACAATAACAATCGTACTGTATTACTTTAAACAAGTTAATTGTACATTTTTACTTAATATATTATATTATATTATTATGCCCCTGTATAATTATATAATTTAATACATGAACATAATATCTAGACACGCGGTAGCGTGTCAAGCCAAGTTCTAGCTAACAGAACTGGCGAGCAGCACCGTGTGTAATATTACACGAACCATTTGGAGCCACTTTTGACCCCCTCATAACTCAAAAACTATTCCACATAAACATGTCAAATTTGGCTCATATATTGAGACTAACGAGATACATATGTGCTCTAAATTTCATAAACACACCTCAAACCGTTATTTAGATATTAACGTCCGAAAATCGTCATTTTTATCACTGACTTACCTATAGATCAAAATTCTAACCCAGTTCCAGATGACCTAGAAAGTTCAAATTTGGCATACAGATAGGTAGTTAGGTAAATACAAAGGAAAAAATCAGAAACTTGAAAATTTTTAATTTAAAATTTTTTAATTTTTAATTTTTAATTTTTTAATTTTTAATTTTTTAATCAATTGATTTTATTATAATTTTGCAATTATTTTATCTATTATGTTTAATTTTTCAATTTATTAATGAATTGCCTCTAATTTAATGTAATGTAATGTTGACTTAAATAACCTTTCCCGTTTCGCCGCTCCAAAAATACGACTAGCCGAATATGTGTCGATATTGTCGACCCGTGCGCAGCAACATACTTTTTTTTCTATCTATGTATGTAATTAATATTATTTTTTTTAAATATTACAATTAAAATAATTAAATAATTATTCTTACAAATTATGAATTATCCACCAATATACTCAAAAAGAGTTAAAATAATTGTATATTAATTTTACATATATTTTATACTCGTATACTCGTATGTAAAACGGAAAATATTTTATAATAAATATTATTATTAATATTAGTAACTGAATTATATTATATAGTAATAAACTTTATTTATAGAATACGTCATGGATAGGTTAGGTTAGGTTATAATAATTTACATACAAAAAGTAATGATATCCCACCAAAAACATATATGTAAAATGAGAGCCAAGTTCAATACTATAATATATGCCTTGGTTGTTGACTTCAACGACAAAAGAAGTGAGATATAAATGGGTGCCAAGTTAGGATAATATATTGAAGCCTAAGGTCTGACTTGGCTACGAATTATATATTATAGCATTTGCAAGTTCTAAAGCTTTGAGTTCTTATTTTATTCTTCGGAAAATCATCTTCACTCTTCCATTACTGTTTTAGTAGGTACTTATAATAATAATTCGTATATGAAAAGTAGCCAAGTCACACCTTAGGCTTCAATATATTATCCTAACTTGGCACCCATTTATATCTCACTTCTTTTGTCGTTGAAGTCAACAACCAAGGCATATATTATAGTATTGAACTTGGCTCTCATTTTACATATATGTTTTTGGTGGGATTATTATTAACAACATAATAGTTGAGATATTTGTTTGATCAAAGTTTCTTAGACTTTTACTGAAGAAATAATACACTAAGAAGTAGAAAGTAAGAACTGAGTATCAAAACCTTCGTAAATCGTACTCCATAATATTTTATTATTCGGAAATCAGAAATGCGAGGTATTAAAAACATGACGTAATTAGATAAGAGGTATCACTACAAAAAATGTAGGTGGTTTGAGATACGAATTATTCAAAATTTCAAAACGGTATATTGTTTTATGGTATTACCACGAATTAAAATATTTTTTATTATACTTATTTTAATTCGTGGCCCGTGTGTATTACCATGGACATAGAACAATAGTAATTACTAATTAGTATTACTCAACTATAATTATTAATTACTCACAAATTAAAATATACTGTAATACTATACTTAATTCGTATTTCGTGGTATTATAATTTATACTAATGTCTAATGAGTTTAGTGGTGGTATCACAACAAACGATTTTTTGGCGGGAAAAAATTAGGATAGAATTATATTTTATAACTGATAATTTATAAGTTATAAGCATAGAACATTTTAAGCCATTAGTCATTACAAAAAAATACTCATAATATTAACAATAATACCATAGGTGCAAAAAGCCAACATTTTTTGGGAAGACTAAACCCCATCATAATATAATATTTTCTAAAAATGATATATGCTCAGTACTAAGTACTGACTTTTGAATTGGAGGGACTTGGAAGAAATTTGGGAGGACTATATCCTCAAAAGACACCCCCCCCCCTCTATTTGCGTCAATAAGTAATACAGTGACACAAACTACAAATACCACATTTTCAAAAATAATAGAGGGGTATCAGTGGGCCTGAACTGTCCCCATCAAAGGTATTAACATAATATTATGGTTTAAGTCTTAAACTATAAATCATCAGAATAGATGAAAACGAGGTCATGAGTTATGGCGGTGTATTTTTCGTGGGGATTTGAAACTTATACAGTTTTACTTATACTTTTTATTTTCAAAAATAAAATAGGTACACCGGAAATTTGCAGTTTTCACCACACACCATATTGAATACACAAGGCCGCCCGCTCATTTAGATAATACCATGATGAAATAATTACATCGTCATGGATAAATACCATACTGTTCTATGATAATACCTAATTTGTATATCATTGTATTGCATTTATTTGCATTTTATTAGCAGTCTTGGAGGGTGATAAGGAGGACCGATAACTGATAAGGTGCCACAGAATTGTAACATTTTGATAATAAATTGAAAAAAAAAATGCAAAGTACGGAGACCGCTTATTTGCTCGGCCGGTCACTATCTAAGATTTGTCCTCACTACCCCGGGTTGTTGCAATTATGAAAAAAAAAGACTCAACTCTCACTTTACACAGTATAGTAACTGCCTACCTACCACCTATCAACTATAGATACACTTATCTATACAAAAACACGGTATTTAAGAGAATGTCAAATATGGGCATATCAAATATCAATAAAAAGTTTACTTTATAATAAACACATTCAATATATTTATACCTATATTTATTTTGTACACATGTGTGGCTTCAAATAGATATGTATTTTTATAATTCTACCTATATAGGCTATATTATTATATTGAGTACATTTTTAAAAAAAACTGTAGAGAACTCTACACATATATTTGTTGTCTCACCCTTACAAGTGCATAACATTGCAAATTTAAGCTCAGCATATCACGTTTAACTCCGTTAGTTTAAATATTAGAGTGAATCGACCTATTATGAAAATTTATGGTAAGAACATTATCTGTGTTTGATTGTGGGTTTTTTAAGATAACTTAGTTTTTAAGTGAGTTATTAGCAAACCTTAAGGCAAAAGTACTATATAGTAGTATTATTGTTCTATGGTAGTAAAGACAAGGAATATGGGTGGAGTCTAAGGGGCTATAGCTCAACAACATTGTTAAGGCGGCTCTAAACGATTGGATTTTTCATGCATTTAGACCAATAAGCTGGCGAAAAATACACATACTTCTAGTAGTCCAATTTCAATTTTGAATACTTATTTGGATTCTTTAGCCTCTTTTCTATGATCTGTAGGAAAAACTTTTTCATATTTTTGTCTAGTTAGTACTTAAAAGTACAAGTTAAATTTGAGAAATCAAGCAGTCATTTGGAACCGTAATATACGTAAATTATCTAAAATATCCAAAATCGGTTTCCTACAAATCATAGAAAAGAGGCTGACGAATTCAAATAATTTTTCAAAATTGAAATTGGACTACTAGAAGTATGTGTATTTTTCGCCAGCTTATTAGCATTTTTCACTGTTGTGAGTGTACAAAAATATTTTTCAAGAGTGATTACGTTGACTTGTGCATGCGCGTACGTGTGCTATTGAACCGTGTGCCCGCAGCCGGGCGATATAAAATCTATTGTTATCGAGTTCGAATTTCTTCGAATTTCACACTAAAGCGCACCATACACGTAACGATCGGTTTGTCGATTTGTCGAAGCACAAATTGATCAACGAATTGACTATCTACTATTCACCATACACGGAACTACCAAATTGTCGACTTGTTTATCAACTTCTATAGGACGAATGCCAAGTTTGGTGTTTGGTAATATTCAGTTTGTAGTAGACTGTACATTTCGTGATTACGTTCGACGTTAAGTATACGTTTTAAGTATAATAACTATTCTTTATCCTGCCGTTGATTTATTTATTTTTAAAGTATTCGTTAATTAAGTAATAATTATAAAGTATGTCGACCATAGAAAAGAGAAAAAAAATTTTAATCACTATCGGACTCTTTTCATGCATAGAAGATATGGATGATGATGAACAAAGGAGAAAAAAAAGAAAATGGTCAAAAAACTGGCTGCTGGAAAGACGAAAATTTTCTCATATGACTTTATTGCGAGAATTAGAATCAAATGAGCCGGCTGATTTTAAAAACTATCTAAGGATGGAAAACCATTTATTCTATAGTTTATTAAATTTAGTTAGACCTCATATTGAAAAACAAAATACGGTTATGCGCGAATCTATTTCCGCTGAAGAGCGTTTAGTTGCTACTCTAAGGTTTTTAGCAACTGGTCGCAGCTATGAAGATTTGAAATTCTCATGTGCTATTTCTGCTCAAGCCCTCGGAAAAATAATCCCCGAAACATGCTGGGCCATTTACAAAGTTTTGAGAAAAGAGTACTTAAAGGTAATTTTAATTTAAGTTGAAACATTTATGGAATAATTTATTTATAATTTATTTAACTTTTTTTGTAAGCTTAGAAAGTTCAAATTTTTACTAAATATGTTAAAATGGCAAAAATTTGAAGTTATTTTGTAGTTGTAAATTCATAAAATTTTAAGTATTGATACCTAAGGTTTGAAAATTTGGTACAAGGTTGTCCATAAGTTTTTCTTCGAATATCTGTAAAAAAATTCTACCGGATACAACGATTTAGCCTCAAACGATTTTTGATATTTATTTTTATTCAAAAAATATAAACCGTAGAAATTCAAAACTTCGATCAGTTGTTGAAAGTGACATTTTCTTCATTTAATTTTTTTCCAAAATATTTCATTAATTTTTCAGTTATTTATTGGCATTTAAAATAATAGATTTTTTTTTTGTTTTTTTTTTTAATAAATGTCGATTACAATTTTTTGGCTGAGTCAAAGTGAAAATTGAATAGAAGTTTTTTTACAATTTTATATAGTTGAAACTTATTTACAGATGCCAGATAATGAAACAGAATGGAAACAGGTAGCTCAAGACTTTAAGACACTGTGGGACTTTGATCACTGTTTAGGAGCCATTGATGGCAAACATATTTTAATAAATAAACCTCCAAATAGCGGATCGTATTATTACAACTATAAGGGTACTTTCAGTGTTGTACTATTTGCAGTCGTCAATTCAAATTATGAATTTATGTACGTTCTTAGTGGTATAAACGGAAGAGTATCGGATGGAGGAGTTTTAAAAGAAACGGATTTGTATAAATTGCTAATGGAAAACAATTTGAAAATACCATCACCACAACCACTAATACAAAACCAATATGAATTGCCTTACGTTTTTATTGGAGACGAAGCCTTCCCTTTGATGGAAAATATCATGAAACCTTATTCGGAAAACTGCGCTGGCCATGATGAACACATTTTTAATTATAGGCTATCGCGCGCACGGCGAGTAGTGGAAAATGCATTTGGCATTTTAGCTGCAAGATTTCGTGTTTTTTTACAACCATTAAATATTGACATAAAAAATGTAGATGCGGTGGTTATGGCCAGTTGTGCTTTACACAACTTTCTACGAAGAAACTCAAGCAATTACTATACATCAGTAAATCAATTGGATATAGAAAATTTGGATACAGGAAACATTATACAAGGTCAATGGCATCACATCGGAGAAATGGTTCCACTTCAAAGAACTTTAAATTATTCAAATCGCAACGCTAAATCTGTAAGAGATAAGTTCAAACAGTATTTTAATAATGAAGGTAAAGTATCGTTTCAAGAAAAAATGATAAATACAAGATAAATGGAACTCAACTGTCAAAAATAAAAATATTTGTATTTTGAATGTCACTGGTATATAGTAAAAATAAAATAAAAACTGTTACTAATAAAACTATATTAATAAATATTCTTTTTCAAACCTTTATTTTTTATACACCAATATCATATAATAGTTATTTACTAAATATGTCTATACAAAATGAATTTATTATATATTTATATATTTATAATATATAAATACAATATAAAAAAATAAAAAATAAATAAATACAAGTTATATTAAATGAATACAATTTCATGTATGAAATATTAAATTAATAGCTTCTTAACAAAATTCGACTTATTATTTAGTATAAATTAAAAATGAAATAAACAGATTTAAAAAAAGGCAAGTAGCAACTTGCAGTGTTTTCTTACACGTAAAAAAATTAAAATAAAAACTTTCTTTAAATTATGTACATTAAATTAAATAATTTTTTATAGATAAATGGCACATGTCATTACTTTCGGAATACCAAAAAGTTGTCCAGGTAATCATCAGTTTCTTGTCTGTCTTGAGATGGTGCAGTTGAGCTTGCATTTTGTGTTACCTCCGAAGTTCTTTTTTCCGTGTTTACTGTAAACGACTCACAATTATTCATCGGAGGACCTTGTACATGCAATGGTTGTTGAAAATATTGTGGTTGATATTGCTGTTGTTTATAATACATTTCCATAGTAGGAAACGTGGATAGGAAATTGGGAAGCGGTTCAGGATTAGGCAGACTGTATTGAAATGAATTTTCGGTGAGTTTTCCAATCCTTCCATAGTACATAACATCAGATATAATTTTTTCGGCTAATAAACGTTGGCCTTCTACCATATCTCTCAGTTGTAAGGCAAAACGTTTTCCAACAATTGAACACTCGTAGTCTTCTTTAATTGGCTCATTAATAGATTTCAATGCTTCACTCGCGAGGTCGACAAACTCAATTTTCTTCGCAACGAAATCCCTTTTTTGTTTTTTTGATAATGGAGTTACTGATTTTCTCACATAACTATCTGAACTTATACTGGGATCAACTGAAGACTCGTGTTCAGGTTGTGTAAATGACCCGCTGGTGACCGAGTCATTGTCATCGACAGTCTGTAAATAAATGAAAATAATTAATGATTTTTTTGTGTCTGAAATTAGTGAAATATTTTGAAAATAAAATTATATAAAGAAAATGGCAATCTAAACAACTGGTAAGAATTTCGAGTTTCTACGACTTATACTTTTTGAATAATAACAAATATCAAAAATCAGTTTTCGATAAATCTTTATTTTACGCAATTTTGTAAAAATTTAAAATTCAAACTTTCATAAAAATTTTTTCTAAAATTACGCTTGAGTTTTTTTTACAGTTACTGGAAGAAAAACTTATTGAAAACCTTGTGTTAAAATTTTAAACCTTAGGTATAAATAAAAAATTTTTTATGAATTTTTAACTTCAAAATTACTTGCATATTTTCGCGATTTTGACATATTTCGTAAACATTTGAACTTTAAGCGCTTATAAATAAAAAATTGTGACCTTAACTTTTTATTTTTTTTTATCTCTGATAAGAAAAACTTATAAGTATCATCGTATTAAATTTTCAACATTTTTTGGGAAGCCAATTTTTTTTAATGGATATTTCAAAAAAAAAATCGAAAATTTAAATTGTCTATAAATAGCTCAAAAAAGTCAAAATACTTTGAAAATTTAACCATGTGTCGACAACGCTAATATAAATATTTCTATCAAACGGTATTAGATATCCATTATAGTGACCTAGGTACTTTATGACCGCTACTGTACAGCAGAGCGAGTTCCCGATTTTTTTTTAAGGTTTGTTTTTATTGAATTTCACTAAAAACATAATATATTTAAACAGGGGCGGATTGGCCTATCGGGAAATCGGGAATCTTCCCGATGGGCCGGTTCCTTGTGAGGGCCTGCAGGGCCGCTATAATTATTACAATATAATTACAAAAAAATTAAATTTTTATAAATTAAGCATAAAATATATTAAAAATCAAATACCTACGAAGGTATTATTTTTAATATCTTAAACTATTGCAATTCATAGTAGGAATTTTGGTATTTACACCATTATCCCTCCAATTCATGCTAATGTATTATTTAGAAATCTGTGGTATTGGTATTTTAGTATTTATATTTTATACTCTATGGTAGAATTTAGTTACGTGATAACATTGATAACCTTATATTATCATTATTTGTATATTTTTTTGATTTTGAATTTTTACACAAACGAGTTACTGTACTTACAGAAGTGTGTTTAGTGTACAAATTCAATTGAACTGTGCAATTTAAATTATGTGTGATGCTGGTGAAAAACGAAAGAAGGTAGGAGCTGAAAAGGTACGAGAAAAAAAGAAAAAACTGTTAATGAAACCTATTTACCTGGAAAATTGTTTTAAATTTTCAATCCTTATAGCTATACATGTTGAACATTTTATAAATTTTTAACAACAAAATAATTATTAAATTTTGATAAATCTTGTCAAAATTCGAGCTTTAATTGCTTATAAAAAAAATGTATGGCTATGTATATTTAATATTTTTCAACTGATATTGTAACAATATATCAGGAGCCTTGTATTCAATTTTCAGGCTTTTTGGCACAACAAATACAATTTTATTGGTATTTATAGAAAAAAAAAACTAAAAAAAGAGATAATTATTTTCAAAATTGTATGGTGTATACAAAATGCTAATATAAATATTCAGTGAAATTTTCAAGCATCTACATTTTACAGTCATTCATTTTTTAATCACAACAAAATAAGAAAATCATTACATGAGAAATCGAGTGAATATCAAATGTTGTAAAAATTTGAATTTCAGAATATCATAAAAATGTAATTTGACTTTCTTGTTGATATTTTTTTTTTTGATAAAGGTAGACAAATTTATGAGGAATTTTGTATTAAAAATGTGTTTTAAAATTTGTTTACGAATTTAAAACTCAAAATAATTTGCAAACTTTCGTCATTTTTACGTATTTTGTCAATATTTGAACTTTAAATGCTTATATAAAAAATTGTGACTGGATTTTTAATTTTTTTCATCTGCCTTTGAAACAATATACTAGGAGCTTTTTATTACATTTTCAAGCTTTTTAACCAACAAATAAAATTGTGTGTACCTATATAGTCATATTTATTTTGGAGTTGCTTCAAAAACCAAAATCGATTTTCTCGAAAACAGATTTTGCGTAAAAATTCTCCGATTTACTTAATTTTTCTTTTGTTTTTCACGGCACTTTTGAAAACCACCAGGACATTTTTATTTCTGACCCCCCAAAGTACCAACTAGATTAACTTTCCTATCAGAAAAGTAAATCTAGTTGAAGAAAATCAAAGTATTTACTATTTTGACAGTCCTAAAATTTGATGACAGACGCAAAAATAAAAAATTAAATTAAAATTAAAAAAATTAAAAAAAACACATCATTGGAAAATCAATACATTCATCACTTCGCTCAGAATCTAAAATGTAATAAGATCAAACTTCAAGTTCGAGTTAGAACAGTCTGAACAGGTTAACCTTATCTGACTAACCCTAAACTGTTATAACTTTAATTATAGGTACCTATTATATATTTTACTAATTTATGGGTGAAACTAAACAAATTTTGAAATGTAAGTAAAATGATGAACATTTTTTTTTTGGTGGGGGGTTACATTTGCGGTGCAGGGCCGGTTTGATCCATATTTCCCGGGCCGAAAAAATTTGCCAATCCGCCCCTGTATTTAAATATACTCACTATTTCGTCATCTAAACTGGATACACCGACCCTCCCTGTTTCTTCCTCGCTGGTAAACATTAACAAATCAAAATACCACAATGTTGGTATATATATGTCATCTGGTGATGCTCCTGTGTGTTTTGATTTTTTTACTTTTGCAAGTTCCAGCCGAAAAGTTGTTCTTAAATTATTGATTTTTTTCCTCACAAATTCACGATCAGCTTCTGGATATTTAGCTTTGCATTTTTGCATTAACTCATCTAATCCTACATTTCTTAAATGCTTATTTTTATTAAGATCACTTTTAATCTTCCACAAAGCTGGATGTTTTTCATATATTTCTATAAACTCAGTAAGAAACTTTTTGTCCGACTCGAATGCCATTTTATAACAATTTAAGCACAGTAAAAAAAAAAAATTAAACTTTAAATAATTATAAAGATGACACAATCCAAATGCGCACAAACTGACTAAATTTTAATTCTAGAATAACGGGATTGTCGCGTTGGTTTAAAAATACTCCACATACGTGTCTAAACATGCGTCAACCAGTTCATCAATCGACCGGTCGATACTTCCAAACCATCGATTTGTCAATCATCGATTTGTAGACAAACATTACCATACACTTATCAATTTATCTGTCAATCTTAAATTTGTCAGCAAATCGACAAACCGATCGTTACGTGTATGGTGCGCTTTAAATAATAGCCACTAAAAGCCGCCTTAACTTCTATTAACATGAAGATAAAAATTTGTTTGGGGGACGAGGTAGCCGAGCGGTCTAACGCGTCGACTGCGGCGCTGGCAGTCGCGGGTTCGACTCTCGGCCACTGGGCGGCATTTTTCTCCGGGCAAGTCACGGTGTCCGGGGAACAAGTGCCGCCATCCCCCACTCCGGGGCATGGCAGAAACCTACGGGTGCCCCATTCAAAATTCTGCCAAACCCAACACACACGTGTTCCTCCCCCTACCAACATAAAACCTACAAAAACCATACAGTTAATGGCCATAGTTGCCGGGCTTTAGATCAATTAAAAAAAAAAAAAAAAAATTTGTTTAAAGCTTTAAATTGTAAATAAAATATATATGTATATATTATATTCAAATAATAACGTTGTGTATCAAGTCCTATTCATTACCCTTACCTTATAAGTCCTTCGAAAATGTTGATTGAAAAAAAAAATATATATAAAATAATATACACTCATTAAAAAATATGTTAATAATATTATTGCTCA